AATTCTTAATCAATTGAGTAATCGCTAACAGCTTTTCACTGCGCGGTGTCAGCTGTGTTATCAGAGCGCGGAGAGGGCGTGCGCTGTTGTGGCGGCCGTTCCTCATGACAGCTCCACCAATCCTTCCTTTCTGATTTTACTTTCTAAGCTTCAAGTACTAAGTAAAACAGTGTTTAACTCCTAAACTCTAAAACTTTTTGGCTTAACAATCGAAGAAGGTATTGATCGATACTTCGACAATTTCTTCCATAAGATGAAGTTCTACAAATTCTGTCGTGTTGTGTTAAGCCACTCGGATATTACGATTGGCCAGAGAGAGGATTGATAAATCTAATGCCCAGCTTTTCCAGAGGAATATTTGTGTCATATCATACAAGTCGCATCGTTTTTCTCCATGGTTTACGACTTCTGTCGAGTGATATGCGATTAGAGTCCGATTGCGATTAGATTCTATCGTTAGAAGACCCTAAGGCGATGGATACTCCAAGGAAGTAATTACCTGATTTCTCTCTGTCACCACGCCGCTGCATTAATGCAATCATAGACTTCACCTGAAACCAATAAGCAGATAGGATGACCGACGTTTTTCAAGCTCTCTACATTACCCTTTCACTTCTGAGATCTGAACCTCGGTCGATCACAACGCATGTAAACCTCCAGAATGATTTCTGGCTCTGCTAGTTAAAACACATTTCAGCTGACTTCTAATAAAAACGGTTAAGAGGAATTACTTCTTAAATCCTTTGCTCATACGCTTGTGTGGAACCCCATTCCATTAGGAGCTAGCGAATAACTGGGTAAAAGGCGATTTTTCTGAACGTGAAAAGCAGTGTAGAAGTGTTTATGTCATGCTGATAGCGAGAAGTCAATTTTCTTCTTAAATGCGGCGACGGTCGTCCTATCACTACGGAAGCGCGGTGAAGTCACAGCGGACGAGTTTTCTTTTCTCTTCATAATTCACATCGCTGTCCGATTCCCGAAAATTCGACGAAACAGCATCATATCGCACGCCGATGGTGTGTCTTCTGGCCTTTGGAACGACGATGACGTCGCGCGTCCGCGCGGCAACAATGTAAATGGAGTCGGCGGCTTATCGCGCGTATGGGCGGCGGGCAGGCTGCGCTCCCACCAGCGCCGTCATCGCCATCTCCCATGCAATTTGTATAGCACCCACACCACGTACACACCTGAGAGCACCATTTCCCATCTCAATCATCGTCATTATCCCTCCTGAACCGCGGTTTCTCGATCTACGTCTACGGCCGTTCATAGCACTTACGTGGATTTCCGCACTGTTATCTACTCCTCCTTGATTGAACACATGCACTCTCAATCCACAAACCTCCAAGCCAAAGTACTACTATCAGTACTACACCCTCGTGAGCAGCAAAGCCTCGCTTGCCACTAGTTGATAAGTCGTACGCTAATTGAGGGGGTGCGCGGACGGATAGAGCTCAGCCATCGATCTCCCTCCCGCACATACCTGGCCGGGCTGGCTGGCTGGCCGACAATGAACGACTGCTATCTGCAACCTCTTTCGCAATTTAGTTCATTGCTAGCAAAGCATTTCTGTGATTTAGTTAGACTTTAGCCTTATCCTTTAACCTCTCTAGATCCTCCTAAACTTTCTGCGAGTGAGAAGCATACTTTTATGTATAACTTCTTTCTACACTCGCCACTTTTCGCTCACCAATTTCCGTTTGGCTCTACTGTCAGTCCGGTAAATATCGCTGGATACGACGAAAACTACGTAGAGCCGAACGGCAACGAATCGATGCCGCGCGAATTCCAAGTCATTAGCACGTCAAGCTGCGCAGTCGGCCACAAACAGTCCGGGTGCGGTCTCATCTGCTTCTGCTCAACGGTGTTTCAACTGAGTTCGAGGTAGTTGACTCCAGACTATTGATGAGAAGGTTTGCTACTATGAAAATCCTTTGTACTTTATGATTGTAACACTTAAAATCCTTGTTTAGTCCAGCTGGCCTAAATAGTTAAACCACAGACCTCTTCTGATCTGACACTTTTCACTCAATAGAAACGTTTTTTGCTCAGTTTCATCTACAAACTTATAAGGGCTATATGCCTTAACGTGTATTCTCGTGTTGTTTACCCTCAACAAGGAGCCTCTAAATGTGTTTTATAATTCGTAATTAAGGTGGACTGAATACTAGTATTGGTGTCGTTCATGGGTTTGTCGTCGGAATGCTGAGGACATCGCCAGTCCAACGAGAGGCATCAGTGTTTTCCTGCGCGCATACAATTATAATAGTGTAGCGATAAACGACGACGGACGACGGGCTCCGCTGAGAGAATGAGCGCAAACGCCGATGAAACCACCAGCTCCCGCCGGCTATTGGCTCTCGCTCATCCGCAAACTCACACACACACACACACTACACACACACAGACACACACACACGCACACACACTTCCACCCTAACAGGACGACAGGACTTCTCCATGGTCAGCTCGATAGTGTAACCAACCGTAGTGTGAACGAGCCACGTCACTGTTATAGGGCTGCGTCATAAGGCAATTTATTCGGATGGAGTAAACAGACGACGAACGAATGATTGCGCGTGAAGCTGGTGTTGTGATAGCACATCGATTCATCGAAAGCACATTGCGAAGCCGCTGATGAAACTTTCCGGATCGGGACACCGTACTTCCACGTGTTGAGTTCGACGTCACAGACTCCTCTCAGCTCACGATTGAGCTATCTCCGGCATTACCTACCCACTTGGTTACTTGGATGGTCCGTCGGCACAAGTAGTGTGGACCCTAACACATCTGCCGTTTGTTTCTTTCTTACATGTTCATCGTCCATGGTGGTCGTCATCACCTACATAGCAGAATGGAAAACAGGACGAATATTTAGGAATTTTTGCAAAGAAAGAGCAAAGAATGACGTAGTTTTCAAAAATAAATTAGTTGTTGAAGTGCCCTATACAATTAGGTGGTTTCTCGCACTGACCAAAAGTGCGGAGAATTCTGCAGTGAGTGGCACGCTTCGGTGGAAATCAGTTGTAGAATTGGCTCCGTACTACAAAATATCACCGACGAGTACTTTTCGCTCCGTGCAGTAAACATCGTGACTTGAAATTCGTTCTCTCGTAGTTTTGTTCTTTTCTCTTCTAGTTCGTTCTCTCTTTCAGTCGCTTTGACTTCCTAAAATAACAGTAGTGACCTGTGATCGGATAGGTGAGGTGATAGCGGTGTGATGAGTGAACGTTCATCGATTGAACGTCACCATTGAGCATTTCGTTTAGTGGGCACACATATCGATCGTGAATCTTTCTTATGGGAACACCCACGGGAACATCCACGAACACTATCCGTAGTTGGAGTGTTGGACTTCATCCGCATCTAATTCGGGCGAGGACACATTTTAGTGTTGGACCGGGGGCAGCGGTTAATCTAGGGTAGAATTGACGAAACATATGACTAGCATCGAACCAGAGCTTTAGGTTGGAGTGAAAAGTTGGCATGCAGTTTCTTTCGTGGAGAAAAAAAGTGGTCAGCTACATAATCCGCTAGGTGCAATAATATCAATGGTTTCTGACAAGTGATAAACATCGTCATCACTATCAAATTGCGTTTATAGTCAACGCTGGTTACGCGCGACGTCGTCCTTCGTTATAGAATGATGATTTAAAGGATGTGGTCTTAAGGAATGGTATTTTAGACGAGCGTAATCTATCGACTATCCATCCTTGTCTGAGTTCTATTATCCATTATCTGAATTGGAGATTTGGGGAAAAATTTTCTATCTAGCTACCGCAGAATTTAAACCATGATTAAATCGGGATTTGTATGGCGCAGCGCTAAATTAGTGATTTACTCATAACTCTTCAACATTACAGTTGAAGGGCCAAAGAAAAACCATTAATAAAGAATACCACTTACTTTTTTTTTTATTGAATCGTGCTTGATCGTTCTATGATTACTTCGAAATTACTTCCTTCGGCTTGAATAACAACTTTCGAATACTATTATCATCAAAATTTCTAGGATCCTTCGAAGACTGTTGCAGACCGAAGGTGAATTTTCATGACTGGTGGTGTTATCAACATTTTTCGTTGCAATATCAGTTTGAATCTAAGTGCACCACGTGGTTCCGATCTACCGTATGCGTTGAATTCTCAGCTACGATTGAAATCATACGTCGAACTCGACGAACGGTTAAAAGTGTTCTCTCAGTTTGCTATCCAGTTGATAGTACTTTTGTGCTTTTATAGTTGGAAGGCGTTGTATTGATTGGAATCTTCTCCTTTTACTTATCAATTGGAGCTACTAATTAGGAAATTGCAGCTGTTTTTTAATAGGGTTCGTCTAGTTTGAAGGTAGTGGAGCGCAGTAGTGCCATAAACTCCCAAGTATTTCCCCATTGATTTTCTTCCCTATAGACTTTATTAATATCTTTTGTCACTCTTACAGACATTCTTAAGAGGTTCAGATCTCGATGTAGAGTAAAGAAAGTTTGGCCGTAACAAGTAATCACTACTTTCGTCTTGAGTACTTTGAAATTAACTCACTTCAATACAGTGACCGTACAGGTTTCCTTTAAACCACATCCTCTCTTATCTTCACAAAATTTCCAAATTAATGGTTCTTTAAGGGAGGTTGGAAAGAAATTTCGACGTAGAACAGATTTTTTTTCGACAGTTTTTAAGAAAGGACTATGAAGAACTTTCAGAGGAAATATGAGCCTCACAGAGAAAAATCTAATCACTTTTTATGTTTCGGTACATTCACAATCCAAGTACACATCTTTAAGCTATGCATCATCCTGAGGTGACCATTAAGCTGTCGAATATCACCTCTTGCCAAACCTGACATTCAAAACTCGCTCGCTGCTTCTGCAAGAAGTTCGAACGATTTCTTGAGATTCCGGTGTTTTGGTGATAGTCTGGGGCTTTGCAACAAATCTCTATCGTCATGAGAATTTCCGTCGAACTGCTGACCACTTGTGCCGATCTTCACTGCTGTCCGAGTATCACATGAGAGTGCGCGAGCTGTGTCGAACTGCTGCTGCTGCTGCTGCTGCTGCTGTTGGTGCTCGGTTGTCGGTTGTTGTAAACTGGCGTGGCATGAGAGTGCGGCGCCAGAGGCCTGCGCACTCAATCGCGCAAAATTACGTGCTTCGCCTATTCCACCGCCTCAAGGCACCGATTTTTAAGTTTCCTTTATCATCAGAACTTCTACTTCCTGAATCTCGTAGCCCTACTTTGTTTGCCAAGCACCAGAATGCAAAACGACTTAAATGGGTTAGTCGAATGCCGGACACTTGATTGGCCCAGAAAATGGCGTATCGCTTTTTCACCGATGGTGTAGGTTATTGTCTTCATGAATGATGTGATCCTGTAAATTTCGTCTCAGATTCTTGTTTATCAATAATGTAATAAGAAAATACTTTGTCAGACTTCACTGTGTCGAACATTTTAAAGGCTAGAAGAGTATCGTCAGAAGATCTCTGAGTCACTTTACTCAGGGTCACTTTATCACTTTCTGAATCATCGCATTTTGCAAATTTTTCTCGTAATATTAGTGGTGGTATATTTCGACATAAATTCTGTGCAATTATTAATGCGACCTCATACACTTTGAGATAAAATTTAAAAAAAAAGACAAAGCTCTCGACGTTGAATGAGAGATGCGCCATGCATTCGACTTCATTAGGCATCGTTAGAGGTGATTGAATGCATATCTGGCCTTTACAATGATTCGTGGTGGACTACCGATGTATCGAGATAGTGCTGCTATCCTCCTGGGCAAGTCTGGTATCACTTTGACGAACCTGGAGTGATACCTGGTGTTGTTTGGCTTGGTGTCTGAGGCGCGGGGTTTGATCCCATGTGTATTACCGGGCGCCTCTGACCACTGCGCTACACGTGCCCTCACGGCTTCACATAGTATAGTAATATGCAGCGACGAAACTACGTGACGCATTCGCTGGCTATGTCTGATGTCTGTCATTTCTGCGGGACGACGACGTCGACTTGTGAAGCACGACCACGGTAGTGTGTGAAGTGGTTTCTTGATCCGACTACACTCATTCCAGCTTTATCATAGCGGATAGACGCGCAAGCACAATGAGGGAGTGGAGGGAGTTTTAAGTTGGTTCAGAATAACTGTCCAATAGAGAGCCATCTACTTGATACCAAAGCATCTTAGGTTAACACTGTGTTGCTTATTTCAAGTAGGAAAGTCCTATTGTGGAATGGGAATTCATTCTATGACTTCCCTATGACAGAGTTAATAACACATGTGTTAATTTATATCATGTCCTCAAAAATTTGGTTCACAATCCTGATAAGGAGGCCGATTTTAAGGTTTATATGGACATCTTCAGTTACTTTCATTTCGAATGATTTACTCAGAATTCTGTATTTGTAAGGACAGTGCAGCGCACAACATAACAAAGCATCAGCAGTGAATAGATGACCGTCGATTCGTATATAAGGCTTGAACTAGCAAAGTCCTTGATTCTCCAAGGATTCAGCAATTCCCTACATATTCGTTGGTGAACGAAAACAATTTTGATGCTTTCGGTATCTGAACGTCACAAAAAACCATATTTCGATTAATTTTTCTCTTTTTGACAAATCCCAGCTTTTAAACTTAACGCTACCAATGTGAGGGCCATTTTTATGACATGGTGTGTCATAAAAATCATAGATTATCTTTCCTTTATAGTACGTATTGATTCCGATCTTCTATTACTAAGTTATAAAGGCAAATTGTTCTATTTGTGCCGAAAATATCTCCCGAAACACAATTTTAAATCCAAATAGACTTAGGTGCTTTGCGTTGCGTTGAATGGCTAAGGTATTTCGGATCTCAGCTGTTCCCAACTATCTCATCGAGTTCTGAGACTGTGTTTCCATCAAATCTAAACGCCGTTACTTTTAGCGCATTTCAAAAGCGATTTAGCTTTACGGCAACTTTACGATTGGTTTTCTCTTTGTCATAACGTGATAACTTTGACATTTTTTTTTAAATCGCGTAGCCTATTCAATGCACTTTGTCCGCTTTGCCGCCCCAACTCATGCATGGTATACGATGCATCTCATTAAGAGAGCGAAATTGGAATGCCAATTAATTCCATTTTGTTCTTTAGTATGTTTTTTTTCTTACAACCGCGTCGCCGTTGCAGGTCCTGTAGACTTTACCATTTGAGGGCATCGTTGTTATGCAGATTTTCGCGGATGGTCTTCATCGCTTCCTTCGCTTTTCGCAATAAACACTCCTTAGAAACTTAGAATTCTATTATAAACTTCGCCGCCTTTTCATTTACTCGAAGATATTGGTCTAAATTACATCATTGGGAATCTAGCTATATTCTTTAATTCTGGTCAAGTTTTTTTCTGTGGAACTAGGCATCCGTCCAGATCATTCAGGTCGTATTTCCTTCATCTGTTCCACGGTTCCTAGCTTGAGCTGCTTGAATTTTTTCGATAAATCTCGGTTGCAAGTCCTCTCTGATATAGAACTTTAGGGTAAACGTTGAAATTTGCTTAGTCTGTTTAGAATTCCTTATCTGAGGAACGGTACTTTTGGAAAACTTTAGGCTTGAAACATGGCCGGTGGAGCAACGCGAAATTCTAGGAAAACGAGGAAGCGAAAGAACTCCGAGGATAGTACATCAGCAGCACCGTCCAGAACACTTAAGGTACCACTCGATAAGACACTTATGATCAAACTGTGAAAAATCTTTATTTTAACCCTTTTATTTACTGCCTTTTTCTTTTTAATGGCAGAGTATGTTGCGAAATATAACTCGTATATAATGCTGAGATATTTGCAAAACTCCGGACTACAGGTGTATGCGGTGCAAATATCTCAGCATTCTATACAAATCTTTATTTTATTGCAACACCTTAAAATCTCACGACTTATCTCAGGATTTCAAGAAAAGTCCTACTTCACCAGCATTCAACAACAAGAAAAAACCGCCCCTCGATCTAAACACCGCCCACAATCCATCAGTCGGAGAGCTTTAAAATATTTAAATTCAACGTTGGCTCAATTTCCTCCATGGAAATAGCCTTCATGTCATTTTCAATGCCAGATGATGCCAAATATCTCAGTGTGATTGCCTTTCAAAGAACCATGAATGAGAATGTAGCAGCCCCGCTAATCAGCGATGAAATTCTTTGTCATCGTAAGTGAGAAGATTACATCGTTTAATGTTGGTAACATTCGTTTCGTTGAGCTTCAATTTGTTGCTTGTCCACTGAGTGCCGTGAAATTCCGTTTCCTCGCCTCGTTATTCTATGTGAAGAAGGAAATCAGTAAGTATCATAAACTGCTGCTAAGTTTGGTAGTTAATGTCTGAAGATGTGAGTCTTGATATTTTTTACGGATATCTCGCTGAATTCGAGCTTGAGAATAGGTCCTTCAATTTGTTTGTTATAAGAAATCTTGAAAACAACACCTGAACAGAAATTCAGAGTCGGACAATCTAGATCACAGTGACGAGGTGGAAAGTAAGGCTGTCTGGCAAGTGTTCTTTTGCGGTCCGTTACTTACACAGGAGTTGAAAGAAAACCTTTTCAAGAAGAGGGACCATCATCGCTAGACCTGTGACTGCTGGCTATAGCTTGGGTGGGGATCAGTCACACAGTTGTCGCCAAAGAGGAGAGAACCTATTCGGTGGCATCGTTCTCAATTTTTTCGCCGTGTCATCTTACCACCTTATAAAGATTCGCTCTAAGCGCGAAGTATTAACGAAATCCAGTCATCCTGAGAAGTGAAGAAAATAAGCCGTATCCAATAAGTTCATTCTCAAGCAACGCCTTATTCAATTATGAGTAACGCAAAAGCGAGGATTTGACGGAAGACTGGGACGTGCTGCTGAAAAGTCTCTCCACAACTGTCGAAAAGTCCTTCTCAAGCCAATGTACGGATGCAAATTTTTTATCAAGGAACATTTACTAAACGACATTTGAAGAGACGAAGATGTTTGTGACTAGATCTTCACGCCACGCAAATCGCATGAATTCTCATCAACATCGCCTTTAGAATACACGTACAAAAGAATAATCATTGATACCAACGGTCAAGAGGCTGGTGTAGTGCAGTGGTCGGAGACGCCCTACGATACACATGTGATCGACCCTTGCGTCCCAGGTTCACCAAGCTCTCCATCCCTCCAGGGTCGAGAAATTAGTACTACACTGTTCAGTAAGGTTAGCATCTCTGGCTGGATACATCGGTAGTCCATTGCGAGTCATTGTAAAGGCCGGATATGCATTCAGTCACCTTCATGATGAAGTCGAATGCATAGTCCATTCCTCAGGGATTGATCAACGCCGAGAGCTTCATCCAGAAATTTTCGGTACGTAGCACAAAAACTGAAAAACATAAAGAAATGTTGCATAAATTCTCGTGAATAGAACATTTCGCTAATCGTTGTCAGTACCATTATGTCCAACTACAACGAAATTCGCACAATGTGACAGCGCGGAATCGATTGGATGTTCGGAATGGGTTGTTGAATGACAGCAAGTAGGAAAGAGTGATTATATAAAAGTAATAAATGGTATTTATTCCACCACATTATTTTTTCGATACTGAATCCCATATCGCAGTTTATAAACAAATTTAGCAGTACTCAGTGGACGAAAAACTGGAGATCATTGAATTCGCTAAGGGAAATGGAAATCGAGCAGCTGGTAGAGAATACAACGTCGCAGAGAGTTCAATTCGAGAATGGCGAAAGAACGAGGAGAAATTGAGGTGAGTTTTTCGAAACTAAACGTTTTCATAAGGGTTCGAAAGATCGACTTTTGATTAAACTCGGCATTAAAGAAGTAAAAGCTCTCATCGTTAATCAATCCCTGAGGGATGCGCCATGCATTCAACTTCATTAAGCATCGTTGGAGGTGACTGAATGCATATCTGGACTTTAAAATGACTGGCGGTGGCCTGCAGATGTATCGAGCCAGTGCTTCCTTCCTCCCAGGCAAGTCTGGTACTAATTTGTCGACCCCGGGGGGATGAAAGGCTTGGTGAGCCGCGGGCGCGGAGATCGATTCCCCGTGTGTGTTGCAGGTTCCTTCGACCATTGCGCCACACGCACCCTTAAGTCGGCATTAGTTAAATTATATGGTGTTACGATCTATTCTTCTCGAGCTGGCACGGCGTTGTTATCACGTATTCTTGAAGTTAAATCGCTGATGTTTAGATTGATTTCATCTTTCGCAAAGCCGTTTTCTTTATTTTTAAAGAATGAGACCATCGATATTCGACCAGTTTGTGATTTTATGGATTCAGTTAATTTCTTCTTTGTATGTGAACCACATACAAGTGGTCTCACTCTTTAGAAATAAACAAGGGAACCGATCTGAAGAATACAAAGTCGCCGAGGCGTTAGCCATTGAACATCAAGAATACGTGGTTACAACGCTGTGCCAGCTCAAAAGGGAGAACCTTTGAGGTGATAAGAATAATTGATAGAGGTCTGGGCGTTGATCTATTCCTGAGGGATACGTCATTCTTTCGACTTGATTAACCATTGTTGGAGGTGATTGAATGCTTATCTGACCTATACAATAACTCGCGGTGGTCTACGGATGTTTCGAGTTTGTGCTGCTATCCTTCTAGAGAGGTCTGGTACCAATTTGTCGACCTCGAAGAGATGAAATGTTTAGTGGTCTTGGGACAGGGGATCGAGTCCATGTGTATCGCAGGGTGCCTCCGACCACAACGCTTCACACGCTCTGCCTTGTTATCGTATAAGTAAGTTTTCACTTGGGACTCTTAAAAACAAACCAGTCGTGCCCCGAAGTTATGCAGAAGCTGTTAGGGTCTATAACTCTTCCTGAAATGTTTTGTTTTGCTAAGAGCTTGGATATCTCCTAAAATTATTTCGAGACTAAATAGCTTCAGTAGATGAATAAAGATCACCTGTCACTTGTATCACCTGTAGTCCCGTTGATCGTCGAGTGACTCGATCGGGCGCCAGTAATCTTCCATTTTCCCTGTCGCAAGCAAGAGTAGCCCAATGGGTTCTGATCGCCCTAGGGACTCGTCGAGCATCATATCCTTTTCCTATGTTTTTCGTGAAGAACTCTGTCCATCGAGACGGTGGTCTTTCTGCAGTGTGTTTAACATTCCGACGAATCCAGTCTCGGTTGTCGTTCAAATGTATTACAAGTCCTGCCCACCTTAGCTTCGACTGTTTGGTGTACAGAACGGCATCTTTGATTTTTGATCATTGACGCAGACCGTAGCTTCGGATCCCATCCCTTATTTGTGTGGAACGGGATACTCCTAGCATCGTCCTTTCGACTGCGCGTTCGATAACGCTGAGTGACCTTTCGTCCTGCTTTCGCAGTGACCAGGTTTCTGACGCATACGTTAGGGCAGGAAGTACTGTTGAGTCGAATAAGGATAAGTTATGAAACTAAACAATAAAGGAACCGAAGAAAAAAAACGAAGTCAACGGAAGAACATTTAATTGGCTTACAGAAGATTAATTTTTTCAGTTCGTAAAAAAATCAGGGAAAATTAGATCAGGGTAATTCACAATGTCTTTATAATATGTGAAACAAGAGTCTTGAAATATCGAAACATTAGAAGAGATAGATGACTTGAACTAAGAAGATATTCGACATTTCCTAGTTCAGGCCTATTTAATAATAGTAAGTCGACCTCACACAGTGCTCAGCAAACAACCGGCGACGCTACTGTTTCCCCTGAATTTGTTTAAAAATATTATCGCTTATGATCTCTGAATGAGCTAAACCCACTGAGCAGTTTTGTTGCGTAATAGGGACAAATGGAGTTTTGCAGGTCCAAGTTTGAGTTACTTAATTATTAATGAAGTTACAACTAGTGCAGGTTTTAGCTTAGAGGATCCAGAAAAATACAACAATGTAGGAAGTTGTAGTCAATACGGTGAAGTGTGATGGAGGTTACTTTTCAGCTAAATAAGACGAATCTTGTCGTTTTGAAATTCACCACACTTATTTGGTCTTGATTTAATGAATTACTAGAACAGACCGCATAATTTAGATATTGATCGAATTTCATATTGAGCTGTCGTAATCCTTTTTGAGACGATTAGCTGGGCAGCGATTTTATTTCATCGAATTTTTCATCCGTGGCGATCCGTTACGAGTAGAACTTTGAGCATGGGCGACAAACAGGCACATCCACTCACATGCTGACACACATATACACAGTTGGGGAGCAGGCACACACACTCACAGATAGACACACATGGAGACACACACTTATAGATAGGAACATAGACACATAGGCAGAGACACAGAGACGCACGCAGGCAGGCCGAGAAATGAAGAGGGATACAGGCAAACAGAAAAATAGAGGGGAAGAGGGAGAGTGAGAGATTGAGAGAGAGAGGAAGCAATGACGTTTAGGAAAAGAGAACAATTGATATACAGAGAGAGCAGAAGAGGAAGAAAAAGAGTAGAGACTTCATTGCTTCCGGTTGAGAAAGTAGAATACCCATAATATCTACACATTCAGTTTCTATCAAGATCTCACGAGTCCTCATTTTTACTCCTTTTTCGATCGGATGTCATTTCATACTGTCGATTTTCAAGGGAAACTTTTATTGAATAAAACATCAATAGTGGTTGTTTAATTTCAACGACAAGTTACCGTACCGAACATTGTTTTAGGGCTGCGAATACGGTAGAGTTGGAACGACACCGACTTCCAGAACACGTACGACGCCATTCAGTGGATCAAAATGGAAACAGTACGAACGAAAAGGCAAGAGGACGTTTTTACACCTGGATTTTATGCTGCAGTAGTAAAATTTGTTAATTGTAATGTAGCAAAAATTATATTTTAGAAGTTTTTATAGACTAAGCAACGGATCTATCAACCAGTTTCTGTAAGAGAGTACCTTCTTCGACTGTTAAACTAACACGTTGATAATGATGTTTATTCGACTAACATTTCGACGTCTTCGTCTTCCTCGGAACCGACGATCTGAATCGATTGTCCACACTCGTTCGCCTTCTCTATGCAGCGTTTTCGTCGTCGTGCCGAGACGGATCTTTTTCAGTGAAGCACCGCAAACATGAGACATTCTCACCCGGAAGCACTCTTTTATACAAGACGGTTGTTGTTGATAAGACTATCCATTGATAATAATTTGTTTTTCAACGAATAGTCCGTTTATAGTTGTGGCGGCTCCAGCATAATTTCTACTTTTTTCAGAGTTTTGCTAGTTTAACCATTCTAGTTCCCCGGAGTCCCGAAGTCAACCTAGCCAGTCTGCCCCAGTTGTGGATCAGCGGAAGATTTGCTACCAAGCGACTAGTTTGATACTAGGACGGTGGTGGATCGTCGTACTGGTTTACTCTAACGAACACCGGGCTTATTCTAAGCTTGAGCGGCCCTACTGCGAAGGCGAATCTCCCTGCTGTGCATAGCAGCCCGACACGCAATAATACCTCCCAGGCGCGATGAGGCTGTAAACCATTTTGAGCAGCTATCACATAGTGAATAGCAAGGCAGTATTTTTCAAGCCGACCGTCATTTAACCTTGGTAGTATTAATGAATACCTTGTTCGAATATTAAGCGCGAGGTTGATAAAGAGGTAAAAGAGTAGTGCCCTCGGCGTTGATCTATCCATAAGGGGTGCCCCATGCACTCGACTTCGTTAAGCACCGTTGAGTGATTCTGGGTGGTCTACTAATGTATCGAGTCAGTGCTGCTATCCTCCCGGACAAGTTTGCTTTCAATTTGCCGACGCCGGAGGGATGGAGAGGTTGATCGGTCTAGGAGGCGGGGATCGATCCCATGTGTATTGCAGGGTGCTTGCGACCACTGCAATACACGCGCTCCACCCGATGTTGACAAAGATGTTTACTCGGATAGCATTTCGGAATGTTCGTCTTCGTCAGAGCCGATGATCCAAGTATGAGAGTGTTCACTCCATAACTGTCGCATATCTCTTGCGTCTTAGCTGTTGTTTGGTATTCTGAAACTGTTGTCACTAACTTTAACATCGAAATTTTAACATAGGGATGTAAATATTCAACTAGACAACAATCGAAATCGTTTGGAAAGTTAGGAAAGAGACAATTAAGCCTACATCTTTCAGAGAACGTTCAGTATTGGTGGAGCTAAACGTGATTATAAGATTGCAACCAATGAAAATGGCGGGAAAATTTTTTATTACGACTTCATAAGAAATGATAAGATTTCACTTCATCCACAGCGAAAATTCAGCTTGTTGTTTTAATCCGTTCGCCACGGCGTCCCAGTTTTCTGGCTGACCCATTGGAATACGAGCAACTTTTCGTCAACTGCGCTGGTATTTTGACAACAAAAACATTTTCTCAATAAATAGAGGAACTTGGTGGGAGGGGGAGGGGGAGGGTGGTGGGTGTTCTGAACATAGCGGGATTGTGAAGTGATCTTGCTTAATTACCTTGTCAGTATGAATGATTTGTATGTACTATTTATTTAGAAGTATCTTGCTTGTTTCCCACCTTGGAAGGATGTCGAGTCTTTTTTGTATTTTCATAACCACATATTCTTTACAACAACCACAGCGTTTAACATTAAGTAATAATAAATTGTTAGTCAAATTATCCATCGATGGGATTTCTTGAAAAAATCTCGTAAATCATTAAATGTGGAGGAGAATGGCTTTCGTGGTCTCACCACTCCCATTTCGCTCTGCTTTCGGCAAGCTGTTCAATGAGTATACATGGTGTGATAAAGATTTCTGGAATCCACCAAACTGGAACTGGTCACCATGTAATCGACTTGGGCATCCACATATGAACACTATATTGACAAGTGATTGCTGATGGCACTGACCGATAGAACTAGTTGAGAGACATGCGAAACGGAGGACCCGCATGGTGTGGTGGTGAACGCGTTAGCTCCCAGAAAGGGTAATAGCGCGTTCTTTTCACACCCCAGGCACCTGAGGTTCGGAGTTTTGCAAAAATCTCAGCATCATTGTGGTTGTATTTCGCACCATACCTTGCCGTGAAAAATTATAGTAGGCAGCAAATAAAAAGTTAGCACTATGAACGCTATAGTTTCCATACAGCTACAAATGACTTAATAAGCGCTGTAACCTTTCCTAAATCCTCTACAATGCCGTGCTGTACTAGCACCTCGTTTTTAAATAAGCTGAATAAATTACTAGAATGTTTCTATGGAACAGGATTTTTAAGCTGTTTGAAACTTCATTGCTCAGGAATTCGTAATTTAGGACGTTGAGATCGTGCCGGTATCGCTAGGCAGCACGCTGGACAACGATAGCACTCTTGCAAATACGAACGACACAACGACGTCTGCAAATCAAGAAGCCGGTTCTACCACATCGTCGTCGTCATCAAGTTCTCATTCAAACTCACCTGTATTCAATCCAAATTCGTCCTCATCATCATCTCGTCGAAAAGCAAAGACACCTCGAAAAATAGTCATCGATCCATAGATCTCCTACCCAAATAAGATGCTGTTTACAAGCGCACCTCATGTACATTTTTCCGGCAACCAAAGGTGTTTATCCTCATCTTCTTATTCGATTCTTCAGTAGCATTCTTTATAGTCTTCGCTCAATCATAAATCCCAGTTATGTAACTATATGGTACGTGATTCCATTTATCAAGTCAAGAATGCGAGATCGTTTAGCCATTCATAGCAGGTACCATTAGGTTCAGAGAAATCTCTCAGAATCCCTATTAAAAAACTTATAACACGAATAATATCGATGGCTGAGGTTTAAATCTGGGTCGACCTAGTAGTTTGACGAAAAGATCTTCCTCTAAATCTATGTAATGTAATGCGCATTATTATTATCATTACTATTACTATTTTTATCATTATTATTTTACTTTAGATGACCCGTAACATATTATGCGGATCCCAGCACTTCGTTCATTCGATTCGTTTTCTTCTACTCGTCATCCACGAAGAGTTTATGATTCGCTTGTGGTCTGAGCTGCTGTTTCAGAGTTCTGATCTTTTTTATCAATATCGATGAATGCTGATCGAGTAGATTCTTCTGAGAATTCTAGAATAGTCGTGACAAGACGTTCTCTGATATTTACCATTGAAGAGTCATCAGTCTTTGTGAATCCGAGAGATCTTCCCAGACACACTTGGTTTCATGTTTCCGATCTCGAAAAGATTTGAAACCTTACTGGCCGGATATGGGATCGAACTAAGCCCTTGCGTTAGTTATTGAAAGGCATGTTTACTAATGTGCTATCGTCGTCCCATGATTATTTTGACATAATACGCATTATTGACTTTAAATAGGATCATCGATGGCATCGCAGCAGTTTCTGTGGTAGACGTTTTCATGTACAAATCTATCGCTCTAATCTGTTGCAACACTCTGCTCTCATATCAGTTCTTATCGTTCACGGTGATTTATTTATTCATTTTCTACTAAGGACAATTGTTGATGTGTTTCCTACATTCTTCGTTATTAAAGTTCTTCTGTCTTGCCATTAGTTGAGTCGTGAGTCTAGTCCAGTTCAGTTCCGTTCGTTATTCTTCAACTTACTGAAATGTGTTTTTTCCTCGTTATCCTTGCCACTTTTTTCTCCGTCGTATTTCTTTCCGGTACGAAGAAGCCTCTTTATAACATTTTTTCTCTGTTTTTCTTATCTATTCATCATGCAGTTGCAGTATATGTGATCTCTTTCCGTGCCTATATTTTTCCATGCAACCGTATGTTTCCAATGTGCGCTAAACCGAGTTCTGTCCTCACCAGTGCTGTCAACACTATATTGATGAATGTTTTTAGGATGTTTCTTTGCAGTTCTATGCAACACCAATGTCAGGATGTCCAGGAAAACAGTGGTTGTATAATGTGACCTTGGATATCAATGCCTAATAAATAGCTTTGCTGAAAGTGAATGCAATTTCGTGTCACGAAAAGCAAAGGTGCGAGTTCTCTGTGCTGGTTAATCCCTCAAGGAAGAGACTTAAGCCATCAACTTGGCTAAGCATTGTAGAGGTAACCGAATTCATAATCTAGGCCATACAATGATTAATTAAGGTGGCCTATCAATGGATCAGACAGCTTCTTTATACATCCATACAACGCTGTTACAAAATTCAACCCGGTGTGCCAACTCGTGCCAAAGACCACGTGTGTTTTGCGGAATGGCTCTATACTTTTGTACGTGTGCTCATGTCACATAAGTTGCATGAAGAATAGGGTAGCACTCAGACAGTAACCTTAAGGAGTCTGACAGAGACTTTAGGACGATCAGTTGCTTCTCTGGTAGTCCCGGATTCAGCCCATGTCACTCTCGCACGTAGGTTGTGGTTTTTGCAATATAGTTCGAGTTGGTCACCATCAAACTGTGGATTCTTCAAGGACCAGGTTTGCTTTCGATCCGCTTTCTCGCCTCACATAATTCCTTGACTACCGTCGTTGCTTCACTGGCACTCGTTAAGAGATGACGATGTGTCCAGCAAAACAAAGGTTTCATAGAGCGGTGCCTAGAAAGAAGTGCTCCTCAAAATTTTGAATGAGTTATTGATCTCCTATCTAATACTCTACGCCGTAAATTGGTCCGCAAATTGGTTATTATGCGTTTTGGGTAAATTTCAAAACTCCAAGAAAGAACTGGAATGACGAACGCCTGACGTGACCTGGCGTCATTTTCGAATTTGGTTGTTTGATCTGGGTCGGTTTTACTTGTCAACCCGTGTGAACAGCATACGGGTGGTGTCATACTTTACAGAATCATGAGTACTTTTAAAAATATGGCGTTCATTTCTATATTTATACCTTAATTAGTGCAATAGAAAGTGCACCAAATTATATGGATATTGCTACTCATAATGCGTCCAGCCTCTGAAGAAGGCGAAGTCGCCGAAAAGTCAGCCATCGATCCACAGCAACAACGAGGGCTGGTCCTAACGTCCTGTCGGCTCACTAAGTGTAGCTCGTGTGGTTTAGCAGAAGTTTGGCATCAATTTTCAAGCCTCGTTTATCTCAGTCAAGAGAGAAAGACTTACTTATGCATTGAAATGCAGTTACGAACAGCGTTGGAAAGATGTTGTCGTCCTATCTCACTCGCGGTAGTAACGGTCTGTAGAGACAACAAATCCAGAGCACTCACCTAGAGTAAGTAACAAGGTCGCCGTTCGAAGTTTGTAAATATGGTGTGGGAAATATTCACTCCTGATGTAGTTTCTGCAAGTCATTCTAAGGCAAATTTCTCGCCAATCGACTTTCAATACAACTTTCTTTCTAAAGCATAATTAATATTTTTAGATGGATTGAAATGATGTCCTTAAGGTAGGAAAGTTGCGATGTTTTTCTTCATGATTTCAGGGATGAACACGCAACTATGGGAATATTTTCGTATGACGCTAAAGTGTACGGCAAGGAAGCGCACCCGAATCAGTAAGCGATTTGCAAGAGTTTTATGACGAAGGAGGGTTGAGCGCCCATAAAACGTTGACAACAGCCATCAGGTAGTCGAGTACTACTCTCTAAAATTTTTTCCGGCTATATGCAGACAAACTCGTAGTGATTCAGTCAACAATCTCATTCGGAAAGTATTGGAAAGATGAAAAACCTCAATAGGTGAATATCGTATCAAATATACGAAACGCAGTGAGATTGTCGTGAAGAAGCCTGTCCTGTGTTTATTTTATGCAACAAGAACCACTTTGTACCCTACATGACAACCTGAGATACTGGGCCCAGTGGTTGAACCAAATTGGAGCTCCTGAGAATTTTATAAATTTGAATTGCGTCATAAGTTATGAAGAGGTTTCGCTTTCGCTAGAAGGCAGAAAGGCATATGCAGAAAATCTCGAAAATAAGGTCTCGATCTTTTAGTGAAACGAGCGCATTAGACAAGAGTTAACAAGAAACTGACAAAATCCTATAGAGGGTGTAGACTTATATCCAGATATGGCCAGAGGAACGCTCCAATCATTTAGCGCCACAGCCACAAGTTACACTGATAGCGCTACAAAAGTTGAACCAACTAGGCTGTGAAACCTCGTCTCACCTTTCATACCCGTCGGACCTCTAGACATTCTATATAGCCAGTTTTGGTCGGAGAAACTGCTACTTCAGAAAATCTTCAACAAGCAAGCCGCTGACTTGAAACAACGTGTTGCTTCTAATACCGTGGAATTCTATGCCCGCAAGACGAATTTGTCTTATTTACAAAATTGCGTCGATGGTGAAACTTCTTATTTTGACTAGTAAAGGTGTATTTAAGCAAAGTTATATCATCTTAAAATCTCCGTCAAAAATTAGTCATTGGTGAACTTTTTTCTTAGGCAACAAGTGATACAACGAGAGGCATATGACATTTCCAAATCTTCCGCAATGGAGCACTGATTGAATGAGGCAAACTCACTCGGCAGCTCTTTTCGTCCCTATCTCACCTCTGCCTCACTCGAGTGGTGCTCCAATAAAGAAGATGCGACTCGATACGACGGCGAAGGGGCCACATCGAGGAGACGAACGACTGTGGACCACCGACTCAGATCATTGGTTCTGAGGATGACAAAGGCGTCGAAATGTTATCCGAATAAATTTTCGATAACACCCTGGTGTTAGTTTATCAATGAAATAAAGTATATTGATCATTTATACCGAGTTAAAGGAATGTCGGTTCAGAACTTTATCGTCTGCTCAATTGGTTGGCTTTCTTAATGTTTTTGATAAGCATGACGGGATAATCTTCGTGAAGAACCTTCACTAGAATTCACTCAACGAACAAATTGGGCAGTGCTTGTGAAAACCTCTCTGGTTACCACTTATAGTCAAGATGACCGTGCGCTCGGTGTTCATAGGGGCTGGAATCTTTACTTTTCAAGCCGAGCTATTGCGATAGGTTACGAGGGAAGAGTAGTTTGTCTCACCAAACTCGAACTGGCCTTACTTTGTTTGGCTGTGGAGCTTCATGCTTTATATCCTAAACCGAATTGCAAAAGAGAAATTTCCGGTTGGCTTCGCTCCAGCGAGGACTTCAGAATTCTGAATGGGACTTGTGGAGTGGAAAAGATTGGCATAAAACTTTAAATGTATGTATCGATTATTTATGCCGAGGCTCATAGAAAGTCGTTCTTTCGAGTTAAAACTTTTCCATTATAAATTTTATACCAGGGGAGGTTGTAGTTCCGCCATCTTTATTCGTCACTACTGCTGGTATATTGAATTGGTCTTTATGATACATTAGTACCTTCTTGTGTTGCCTCTAACAGTTCTTTGTACAAGCGTCGTTATATGACCCTCTTTAGTTGCCATTTACTACCGGCAGTACTATTAGTACAATCGGATTGATTTAGAAAACGACACTACACTTTGACAAGAGAAGTAGCCCCTGAGGTGACGATGCGTTGCGAACTTCTTGGTAAGCAGGGCTCACATATTTGCTGCCCAACCTTTTGATTTTTTGAGGGGGAACTCATAACCTTCGGTGAGCTATCTGTCATCTATCAGCC